ATATGAGTCAAAATTGAATGAGAATTAAATTCAAACTAAATAAGAACCGAAGTCATGGATGCATCTATTTATATGTGGAAGGACTTTAATTTAATGACGAGTTGACGACAAAGACTTTTGTCTAGCGTGTAGAAGAGGAGGGCTGTTTACAAAAAAAAAAGCGTGTAGAAGGGTTAGAAAATAATTCTATTGGATTGGTCACTAACGTATTTAATGGGATGAATTGACAAATGTAAAGATATATCAAAAGTGGTCCACAATAACATGAAAAGTGGGTGCAGTTTTTTTTTTCACTGATATATGGTAGAAGTGATTATTGTTGTTAAAATTTCGATTTATCACTACGATTTTATATTGTTATGATTTTTTTCATTAAAACGATTTTATTAATATTCCAAACGCTTTTATGTTTTTACGATTTTTTTACATTACAATTTTATGTTTTACGATTTTTTAATTCCCTTCTGATTTTATTTAAGATCTCAATTTTAACAACATTGGAAATGATATTTTGAAATCATATTCATTAAACTATGATATTTATTCTGTACCATGATTTGCCAATGAAAATATTCTCAAACATCACTATTGCTTAGTAGTTAATCTGCACCCTGGTTATTGCATAGCTTCCCGGCCCAAGGACCGACCATTGCTTACCCTATCTTTCTAATTTGTTGACCTCAGTTTCAGTAGCATGACTCATTTGTTATCAAACATGTTTGAGAGAAAATGTTTTTCAGATCAATAATTTTTTTTTTTTTTCGAAGATTTATGTCCATCTTCCATCTGTTTTGAAGGCCGAAGAGCAAATTATAAATGTGTAGATTTATAAACCCAAACAAAATATCAAATTCAATTTAGAAGGATTCCTGGTATGGATCAAAGACAACGGTACCCCGTTGCAGAAGAATAGTCTAATAAAGGTTGATATTATTCAAAAAAATTTCCAAAATAAAAGGGTTACTTGTTACAAAAATATGATATTAAATATAAGATCTTAATTTGCTTTCACCGAACAATTTAAATTTAGAAGTGAAATGGTTGTTTTTAGAATTCCATGACTCTAGGATTAAGAGTTCGATTCTCACAATTCTTTTGTCTAATGTAATTTTGTTAAAAAAATATTTTTAATTAAAAAGTACAATTATTAAAAATGAAAAACTATGAATTTTAAATTAAGTTGAGAATATCATAAAAAATTCTATGATAATCTACTATGATAAATTAATTCTTAAATACAAATTTGTTTCACTTCAAAATAACATTTTATAAACTTGAAATTATCTAAAAGTTCAACAAATTTTTTTCAATCCAAAAGTAAGTTTTCAATTACTTACCAAACGCACAGTAGCCGGCTTTTTGACCCTTATGCCCCTTAATTAATAATTAATTACCAAATTGCTCCTCATTCAAAACTATTTCGAAAATTTACCCTCCCCAACAAACATAACACCAATCTGCCCCTGTTTGACCGTTGACCACGAAGCCTACCCGGGTACAACATTACCTACCCGGGTAAATTTTGAAACTTTTTATCTACCCGAGTATGTAGGGGTGTACCCGGGTAGAGTTCTTGAATCTGGGAAAATGTTTGAATTATTTACCCGGGTACGGAGCAGTGTACCCGGGTAAATCGCGTCCAGAAACCCCAATATGTATGGGTTTCGGCCATTGTTGCGAGGTATAGGGTTTTTGAAACCCCAAATCTTTCTCTCTTACCCTCTCTAATCCGAAACATCACACATATTTCATCTCATCATTTCAGAAAGCTGAATCTTGGGGGGACATTGAGATTACATCTCCACACTCCCATTTTGTGCTAAAAAATCCGAACCAACCTCCAAACCCAAAACCTAGATCTAATTTTTGTGTGAAAGATGAGTTCAAGTCCAAACATGGTTCCTATAGTTGTTTACTACAATGGGAGGCATTTTGAAGGTCCGAACGGTGTCCGATTTGAAGGAAAAACAAAAACGATGAAAATCAAAGTGGGCACTACATGCAATGAACTGAAGGAGAGAATTCTTCAAAAAATGGGGTCAGAAGGCATACATTCCATCCACCGCATGATAGCCAGGTTAGAGACTGTAGTGGATATGGATACAATATACTACATTGGAAACGATATAAATGATGATGAAGATGTGGAGTTCGTAACAGATGCGTTTGTTGAATGGAAAGTATTAAAATATATTGAGATATATGTTGAAGTTGATGTTGGACAATCTTCATCTTTACCGGTGCATACAACCACTACTGCACACTGTACCGGTCAAGAAGATACAGTTGTACGATCTTCTGCACCTCCTCAGGTAGCATGGGATGAGGATGAAGAGGATGAAGACGAGGACTATGTGGACATCGAAGATGAGGGAGAACCTGAAAGTGCTATTCCAGAAGGTGATTCGTCAGACACTGACGTGGACGGTAATTTTGAGGCTGACATGAGCGCCGTAAGTCTCGGTACCCCAGCCTTGTCACCACTTCATGTCGACCCAGTCAGTAGTGGTAAGTTATTAAATTTGAATATTTGCTTTAGACAATTTATTATTTGTGGTAAGTTATTAAATTTGACATGATCTTTAGATGCAGGGTCTGAGGAGCCATTCTGGAATGAAAGCCAACATTATTCATTCATTAACTGGGCGCACCCTAATGACGAGTTGGAGATCCTATATGGCGATGATGACTTGCACGGAGGTTGGAAGTTAGGAGATCCGTTATTTGTGCAACAAGAATTTGGGTCCAAACCAGAATTGCAACATGCTGTGAAGATACATTGTATGAAGGGGCGCAGGACAGCCATAGTTGAAAAAAGCGACGAGTCAAGATTTGTTATGAAGTGTAAAAACCATGCTGACGGTTGTCCCTGGTATATGAGGGCAATTAAGCCGAAGAAGGGAGCTAACTGGGTGGTCCGTAAATGGGGTCAAGGTCACACATGCCTAAATCAAGGCCTAGCACAGGATCATAGACAGTTGGATTCAAATGTCATTTGTGCGGCTATAATGAGTATGTATTCTACTGTTTATTTAATGATTCAGATTAATTGAGAATATGGTAAAGTTAATTTTTTTTTTTCCAGATATGTTAAAGGAAGATCCATCCACAAGACCAGCTCTGATACAGGAGAGGATACAGGGAACATATGGATACAACATAACGTACAGGAAGGCCTGGAAGGCAAAAATGAAGGCCATCGTTAAGTTGTTTGGTGACTGGGAGAAATCGTACGCATTCTTGCCAAATTGGCTAAAGTATATGACGGAGGTGAATGTGGGTTCTGTGTTCAAACTTGATACAAATCAATGTTTTGATGAACGTCGGGTTTATACAGACAGGGCCGTATTTCAAAGGGTTTTTTGGACATTTCACCAATGCATTGAAGCATTCAAACACTGCAAGCCTATAATTCAAATTGACGGCACTCATCTGTATGGGAAGTACAGAGGTACTCTATTGATTGCAACATCTCAGGATGGAGATGGATTTCTGCTCCCTATTGCCTTTGTTGTTGTTCCTCCAGGTGAGTAAATAATTTTGCTTTGGGGTATGTGAAAGCATGTGACCCTTCTTTGCCACTTCATACTGTAAATATTTTCTGAGCTCATCCCTATTGACTGTGTTGTTGTTCCTCTAGGTGAGAGGTTGGATGATTGGTCCTGGTTTCTTAGCCTTTTACGTTTTCATGTCACACATAGGCATGGTATTTGTCTAATATCCGATCGTCATCGAAGCATCATAAGGGCGGTGAAAGACCACGGAGGGTGGCAGCCTCCATATGCTTATCATGTATTTTGTCTACGTCACATCGGAAGCAACTTCAATACCCGTTTTAGGAATGTGGAATTGAAGAAAACGTTGATGAAATTAGGTAATGTACGGTATAATTACTCACATTTTCAACCATTTGAAGAAAACGTTGATGAAATTCACTAACTAATGCATATGTCATGGTTTTTTGCAGGGTACACATGTTCAAAGATAAATTTCGACATTAGGTACAAGGAATTTATCGAGAACAATCCTGAAGTTGCTTCATGGTTGGATGCGATTCCGAAAGAGCAATGGTGCAGGTCGTATGATGAGACAGGACGTAGGTTTGGTCATATGACAACTAACCTATCTGAGTGTGTGAATAAGGTGCTTCGTGGAGCACGAAATCTGCCTATATCTGCATTGGTCAAGATGACATTCAGTAGACTCGTTGAGTATTTCGTCAAGAGACGTGAAGGGATTGAAAAAGATATCTCACAAGGTTGGATAATTTCAAAGAAGGTTGAGGCAGCGTTGCAAAAAAATGATGAATTGGCTGGCACTTATCGTGTAAGGATATATGATAGTGACCTGTTATTGTTTGAGGTTTAAAACCCTACCGTCGATGTTTACCCGGGTACACTGCTCCGTACCCGGGTAAATAATTCAAACATTTTCCCAGATTCAAGAACTCTACCCGGGTACACCCCTACATACTCGGGTAGATAAAAAGTTTCAAAATTTACCCGGGTAGGTAATGGTGTACCCGGGTAGGCTTCGTGGTCAACGGTCAAACAGGGGCAGATTGGTGTTATGTTTGTTGGGAAGGGTAAATTTTCGAAATAGTTTTGAATGAGGGGCAATTTGGTAATTAATTATTAATTAAGGGGCATAAGGGTCAAAAAGCCACAGTAGCCACTAAGAGCATGTGTAGATTAATTTATTCTAAAAAATCATTTATATTTTTTTTTTCAATTTCAGGAACGTAAAAATACTATTTTTCTCTTCTCTCTTGACCTGCCCACACGGATTTCACACATGAGAAGTCTTGCGACCCGGATGCGACTAATTTTTCCACAATTAATTTTGTTTCCGCGTGGATCACAACATACCATCTTTCAAAGCTTATTTTTGAGAGAAAAAAATAAAAATAAAAATAAAAATAGAACTTTGCATTTTGTTTTAAATTTGGCTATAAATAATCATAAGTTACGTAATTCCCACCCATTCCATTTGCACTTTCCTTTAGATAATCACAAATCGCAAACACTTTCCAGTGGAGTTAGAATTTCTGAATCAAACTGCAAAAGTCATCCATGGAGTGGTTCTCGTCGTTATTCCCTATTGTTGTGTGTTTTCAATTTTTGTTCTTTCATTTTCCATCCTTTTCGTCTTTTCCTTCTCATTCATTATGCTCTCCCGACCAGAGCTCTGCCTTGCTCCAATTCAAGAACTCCTTAACTGTTAATTCGAAGATAGAAACGTGGGAAAATGGGACAGATTGCTGCTTATGGGTTGGTGTCACGTGCGACACCATCTCTGGTCACGTGATTGGGCTCGACCTCAGCTACAGTGGGCTTCAAGGTATCATCCATCCTAACAGTTCCCTTTTTCGCCTTTCTCATCTCCAAACACTCAACCTCTCCTTCAATGATTTCTTCTCTCAATTTCCATCTCAGTTTGGAGGGTTTGTGAGTCTCATGCACCTCAACTTGTGTGGTTGTTTATTCAAAGGTGAAATTCCTTCCCAAATCTCACACCTTTCCAAATTAGAATCACTCGATCTCTTTGGAGGTTTTGAAGGTTATCATCTTTTAAAGTGGAAAGAAACCACTTGGAAGAGGCTGGTCCAAAATGCAACAAGGTTGAGGGAGCTTGTTTTGGATTTAACAGATATGTCTTTAATTAATCCAAGCTCATTGTCTCTGCTCTCCAATCTATCTTCCTCTTTGGTTACTCTTCATCTTTACCAAACTGGGTTAAGGGGAAAGTTGACAAATGACATTCTCTGTTTGCCAAATCTCCATGAGCTAAGTATGTCTTATAATGACGATCTTAAAGGCCAGCTTCCAAAATTGAGTTGTAGCACTTCTCTCAGTATCTTGGATCTTTCCGGATGTCAATTCCAAGGGCCAATCCCTCCATATTTCTCTAACCTCACACATCTTACTTATCTCAGTCTCTCAGGTAACAACCTTAACTCTTCAATACCATCCTCACTTTTTACCCTCCCACGTCTCACTCACTTGGATCTTAGCTATAATACCAATCTCAGCGGTCGAATCCCAAATGTGTTTCCTCGGGAAAACAAATTTCAAGAATTACTTTTGAGTGGTAACAATATAGGAGGTGAGCTGCCGTCATCACTTTCAAACCTTCAACATCTCACTTTCTTGGATCTTTCGTCCAATCAATTTAGCGGCCAAATCCCATATGTGTTTGGCGGGCTAACCAACTTTCAAGAATTAGATTTGAGTTATAACAATTTCGGAGGACAAATTCCATCTTCATTGTTTGACTTAACTCAACTTTTTTTCTTGGACTGTTCTCATAATAAATTAGAAGGCCCTCTGCCCAACAAAATAATTGGGCTTTCAAACCTAACTCGGTTAAGGTTAAATAACAACTTGCTAAATGGAACAATTCCTTCTTGGTGTTTATCTTTGCCGTCTTTGGTAGGTTTAGATTTATCAAATAATCAGTTTTCTGGGCATGTAAGTGCAATCTCATCACATTCCTTGGAGTCTCTATATTTGTGCAGAAACAAGCTACAAGGCAATATTCCTGAATCAATTTCCAATCTTGCAAACCTTACCGCCTTGTGTCTATCATCAAACAGGTTCAGTGGCCCTACCAATTTTCACCTCTTCTCCAAGCTTCAAAATCTGCAAAGTCTTCTTCTTTCGCAGAATAGTGAATTATCACTAAACTTCGAATCCAATGCCAATTACAGTTTCTCTCTCCTACAACATTTGGGGTTATCTTCTATCAATTTGACTGAATTTCCCAAATTAACTGGAAAATTCCCAAGTTTGCGTTTTCTCTACCTGTCCAATAACAAACTTAGCGGAAGAGTACCCAATTGGTTACATGATATGGATTCATTAGGTTTTTTGGATCTCTCTCAAAACCTGTTCACATCATCGATGGATCAAATCTCATGGAACTCCAACCTTGAATACCTTGATCTTAGTTTCAACTTACTGACTGGTGACATCTCTTCGTCATTTTGCAATGCAAGTGATATTGGGATTCTCAACTTGTCCCACAACAAGCTGACAGGTATCATTCCACAGTGCCTTGCCAACTTATCATCCCTTCAAGTTTTGGATCTACAAATGAACAAAATTTCTGGCACTTTGCCATGGACCTTTTCAACGTACAGGCTCAAAACACTGAATCTCAACGGCAACCAAATAGAAGGTATTTTGCCTAAATCTTTGTCCAACTGCACCCAACTGGAAGTTTTAAATCTTGGCAACAACCAAATAGAGGACACATTTCCCCATTGGCTTCAAACACTGCCAAATTTGAAATTATTAATTTTGCAAGCCAATAAGTTACACGGTCCCATTGCCAGTTTAAAGATAAAGCACATGTTTCCCAGTTTGATTATTTTTGATATCTCATCCAATAACTTCAGCGGACCAATACCAAAAGCCTACATAAAAAACTTTCAAGCCATGAAGAATGTCGTTCAACCTCAAGTCCATAGCAGTTTGCAATATGTGGAAACAGATCTTCGCTATTTTACTTACCCTGGTTCTGACAGTATAGTGTATACTGATTCTATGACTGAAACAATAAAAGAGAACAGTATGACACTAGTGAAAATCCCAACAATCCTCATCAATATTGATTTATCAGGAAACAAATTTGAAGGAGAGATTCCGAATGTTATTGAAGAGCTTCATGGACTCAAAGGGCTCAACCTTTCCCATAACAGACTGAATGGTTCTATTCCCAAATCCATGGGAAATTTGACAAACCTTGAATCATTGGATCTCTCTTCAAATATGCTCAGTCGTGGGATTCCTGCAGAATTAGTCAATCTCAACTTCCTTGAAGTGTTGAATCTTTCTCAAAACCATCTTGTGGGAGAAATACCTCGAGGAAAACAGTTCGATACATTTTCGAATGATTCCTATGAGGGAAACTTGGCCTTATGTGGATCTCCATTGTCAATAAATTGCAACAAGGACACTGAACAACATTCTCCACCTTCAGGGGCCTTTGAGAATGAAGAAAAGTTTGGATTTGGTTGGAAACCAGTGGCCATAGGATATGGATGTGGATTTGTATTTGGAGTGGGCTTGGGATGTTATCTGCTGTTAATAGGAAAGCCTCAATGGCTTGTGAGGATATTTGGAGTTCAACTTAATAAGAGGGTCAAAAGAAGGAGAAGGATGAGGACTCTTGCAAGAATGACTCAGTTAGTGCGGATGTCATAATCTCGTTGTGATTGTTATTATTATTTTCCTTTTATTTTAGCTTTACCTTATTTGAAAAATAAATTTGAGTGTCACAACTTTGTCACTCTTATTTGATGTAATTTGAGCTTGAGTTATAAGTTTGCAGTATTAATGTATTATGTTTTGTTTGAGTGAGCCAGCAATGTGTATTATTTAAAAAAATTGCAAGTCTGCTCTTGTATGTTTGTGGTTATTGTCGTACATATGTAAGTATGTTTATAAAATATTATATAAAGAAATCCGGTAAAGAGAGAGAGAGGGAGAGAGCCAATTTTTTAAAAGGGAGTCAATGAAAGTGTAATCACATTAATAACATACCCCCAATTTATTTGGGTGTGTAATGTAACATCTCAATTTTCGCTGATATTTAATTATCCGGGAATGAGCATCATTATACAAGTTATATAATGTTTAATTTTGGGCTCAAGAATAAAGTTATGTAGAGTAACTCAGATTTTTTTTATATAATGGTGGCATTATCATTTGAATTCATCACCTCATATAAATTTTTCAAATCCTTTATCACTAGTTCACTCCTAGTGACTTAAGTATTTGAAGAGTTATCCCAAGATAATTAGGAATTATGCTTTTATGAATAAACAAAAAATATTTTTATCTTGAAAATATTAATTTTTAAATTTAATAAAATTTAAATATACATCTATTAATTATTTTGACTTTTAAGATTTAAAATTATATGTTGTTATCTTGTTTTTTGTATTGGAATGATTCACTGTACTAACCTTTCATCAATACAATGGTAGGAAAACTACCTATCACTCTCAACACTAATCCATGGACATAAAGATTGAATTTGAATCTACAAATCGTATGCCTAAATTGTATAATTTGCACTCATACCCTCTCCCCAAAAGAAAATGAATGTACCTAACATAACCACCGTCTTATTTGTGCTACTGTACAAATTTCATTTCTTATTACAAAAAAAAAAAAAAAAAATCATTTCTTGGAATAAAAGCATCTCAGCTATCATTAAACATAAACATATGTTTAAGCAAAAGTAGCACACCACTCAAAGCAAATTTAATCCAACAATTATTAATTTGATTGATCATCAAACTTGAATGCCCCGATTTAGACGCTAACTTCATTGACACAAAAATTCAAAATATTATTATTTTTAAACAAATTCTTTTTTAAAATTTTGTAGATTGCACATTTTTGTGCCTATAGATTGGAATCAAATGAAGAAGTGCTACTTAATTTGTTATACGAAGATGAAGCATTACATCAGGTTTAGTAATAAACCGTTAACGCTACCAACGAATTGGTGGGATATGTGCAGATTTTTTGATCTATTTGGGGTTTGATTCCTTAATATTCCAATTTGATATTGAGTTGATATATTTATATGGGGATTGTTTAGTTACACACAGTGGCCAGCGGATTTGAGTCCCGCCCCAACAACCCCCAACAGAACTATTGTTTTTTTTTTTTTTCCTTCCACCAGTTCCGCCTCCTTCCCATTGTGGAACTGGGTTTTTTTTTTCTTTTTTTTTTCTTATTTCAATATTAAATTAGAAGGAATGTTATACTTACAACCTATTTTCGTTTACAACAATATTTTAATAGTTAATTTTCATCAATCAATGATTATCATTTATTACGAATTAATAATTAATTAATAAATTTGATTTACGAAAATGATAACTGTTGATTGACGAAAATCAACGGTTATGGTTATAAACGAACTAGGTTGTAAGAATAATCTTCTTATTAAATTAAAAGGTAAATAAACAAAATGGTATGGTCCATTTCGGTGCTAAACAAGAAGTGAAGCAGTTTTCACCGAGGATTTGACGACGACCACTGTGAATCTTAAGAGAAAGAAGAAGACTATGGCAATGTTCTACGCAAAGGATGAGGTGGTGAGTTAGGAACATGTGTTGTTTGGTTTTCGGAAGGATTGAGGGTAAAGTCGAATATTTTAGAAGACTCTTATTACCTATCGCTTGACCACGAGAAGTTCAATCTCAATTCTGAGAAAGAGACCTTAGTTTAACAATTGAACATTACCCGTCAAACACTAAAAGATCTTGAGAAACAACGTAGTGAATTAGAACTACAACATTTGGATCTAAAAGCAGAAAGAGAGTCTGCACTTCAAAAAGGTGGAAGAGCTACTGGTTTCCTTATATGCTGAGAGAGAAGAGCATTTCAAACTTACGCAATTGAACGAAGCTCACTTGGCTGAGAAGGAATTACAAATTAAATTACAAATCAAATTGCATTCCAAAGGTTTTTAAAAAGAAAAAGGAAAAAAAGGAAAATCAGTTCAGCGGGTGAAGGGGGGCAGGACTGGTTGAAGAAAAAAAAACAAGAGTTCCGCCGGAGGTGGGGGTGGGACTCAAACTCGATAGACCCCCGCCTGGAACTAAACAAACCCTATTGGTAAAATATACCAATTCAATACCAAATTGGAAAGAGCCTATATGTGCAATATCTGCAATTTAGTTTACGGTTTTATACCTGTATCAGAAGTTTGGATTTTCCAACGGACACAATAAACGATGGGCCACACTTTTTACAAATAAAAATAAAAATTGAAGCACACATTTTGATGTCTCGCTTGCAAGAGATCATACTTCTCCTACGAAAGGAGAAGTATAAAATTCTTAGGGCATGTTTGGTGCATTGAATAAGATAAGGTCTGATTGTATAAGACTTGATTAAATTTTAATACTATCCAGCGTTTATTATGATATTGTATAAGATAATATCCTCTAATATTTTAAAAATTTATATATTAAAAAAATTTATTTTAATATATAAATATTGAAATGATATATTAGTTATTGGAAATTGTACTTGTAAGCAATATTAATACATCAACCCCTTATCAGGCCTAATCCACCACTCTTAGGCCGGATTAAGTTATACATTATTTTGATGTATAAAGGGGTCCTGCTGTATAAGTTTATACTATACGATGGTCACACCAAACAACTGAAAATGTCATGACGTATAGTATAAGCTTATATTATCAGCCTTTATACATCACACCAAACAGGTCCTTAGTTTATTAAATGAAATCTTATCAGAAACGAGGGCAATATCATCTAAAAGAGTATATAATAACCCTCACATATAATTGTGGATTAATTGATTTTATCATAATATTAAAGAATAATTAGAGGGAAAGTACAAGAAAAAGAAATAAAGTCATTTTGGTGAAAAAGTATTAAAAATGACAGTTAAGAGGTAAAAATATGGGTAGACAAAGTTACCCGAAAGTTAAAAGTAAAATAGTAAATATCACTACAAAAATATTGTAGATCAATGGGTAAAGTTGGATGGAGAGTTAAGTGACTGGAATTGATAAGCTTATACCCATTGGGTTAGTTTGAAACCACTTAAGTACCAAAAGCACTCAAATTTCTCTCATTCTCTCTTCTCACCCGTGATTGTGCTCAAAAAGGGCATGAGAGAGTTTCACTTCATCTCTTCCATTTCTTCAACCTCTTCCCTTAGAAACAAGAGTGCTCAACCTCAATCTTCATCTCCTTCACACCCTTCCATTTGTTTCTGTTTGTGAGTGGTTTGAAAGAAAGAAAACAACTTGGAGCTATTTTTGGACTTGGCTTGGAAGGGAGAAAATTTTGGTGCTAGAAGCTTGGGAGCCCTTCATTGTTGCCTACATTGAAGCCTAGGTAAGAGACCCTAACCCCCATTGTGGGATTCTTTGAGAATAACATGACTAAGGTTTATAAAATGGGGATTTTAATGAAATGATAGATAAATCTTAAATACAAGAGTAGAAATTGCATATTGGGTTGTTGGATGAGTGGATTTTCATGAAAACATCATGATTTAGGGTTGTATAATTGGGATTTAATGGTATGAGTAGTTGGAGGTTGATTTGTAGATGAATCCCTTTGTTAAACATACTTGGAATTGGTTCCCGTAAAAGGAAAAATTATGAAATCGCCATTTAGAACACTTTGATAAATTGGACTCAAAATCAAGTGATATTAAAGTGTAAAAACCTTGGTTTTCTGTAGGATTCACGTTAAGTTTATAAATGTGAATACTGATGGATATGTGTTCATTGGTTATAGTGTAAAACCAAGTGGACTAGTAGAGTAAGAACATGGATTAGATCAAGCTATGGACATTGACCAAAGCTCTTAATTGTTTTGGATTAAGGTAAGTATCAACAATGGTTTGACATGATACTTAATAATGAATATGTGATTAATTGTGATGATCTTCACCTTGAAATAAGTGTTGTGATTTGAGTTGATACTCAAGTATTTGTGGAGGACCTTGTTTGGGCTTGAAGCAAGCTTAGATGAAAGCTATAGGTAAGCTTTCGGTCCTTGGGGTTAATTCCCCGTTTATTTCACCAGACTTTGAGGGAGGATCGTACTTTTATATGATATGTGGATATGAGCTATTGTATGATGCATGTATATGTATGTATGTTTGTGTGCCACATAAGACAATGTTTCCTTGTGTGGGGCATATGACGGTGTTTCCTTATGCATAGTATGAGACAGTGTTTTCTCATACGAGTATATTGCAAGACAATGTTTTCTCATATGGGTATGTTGCAAGACAGTGTTTCCTTGCGTAATTCATACATTTAAATTCTCTAGACAATAGGATATATTATTGGACACATTCATTGATATACATATTTTGATGCATATATATATGCTTTTATACTGTGACACTATGCCTGAAGTGAACCTGAGAGTGGAGGAGCCTTTCAAGGACCCCTAGTTTGCTGAGATTATCATCTCACCCTACATTATGGGGATTACCATTTCAGGTACAGTAGCTGATAGTTATGAGGCATCGCGCGACAAGAGACCGAAGGAGAGATACTATCTGATCTGATACTCATGTTTTGATTGATATTTAATTTTATACATGACATTATGTTATTCTTTTGAGATGTACATACCATGTATTCTTTTGATGAGCATAGGAGATGTCTATGCCATGTTGATAGTTCATCTATTTTGTTAGTATGTCTAGGTTACTTATTTGATTACATCTCTTTTGGTTGGTTGATGTAATCATGTAAGTAGCTCTATGGACATTATTTTGAGACCTATTATGTATGGGATAGCCAATGCCATGGATGGCTTAGTATTATGATTTATGCCTGGATTATATTAAACTGTCAATCAGGTTGAAACTATCATGGTAGGAATTATCCCCAGTGGTCCGAAATACAGACAAAATGCTGCTCATTTTATTTTGACCAAAGGAGCAATGAAAATTGTAATACATA